AAAAAAAAAAAAAAAATGGAAAACAGGACAGTTTGACAGGACAAATACCAGTTAAAATACATAGAAACGGAAATGATCTATAAAATCTCCTTCATTGTATTTAACTCTTAAGTTATTTGTATTTAGATTTTAGTGCTATTTATTTCTTTATAAATTAAATAAGGAGAGACAGAGAGACAAACACAGAGAGAGAGAAAGATATCTTGGGCCGTGACAACACAGCCTGGTTTCAAATCCTGATTTTCTCACTTGCTGGCTGTGCAACCTTGAGCAAGTTTCTTAATTTCTCTGTGCCTTGGTCTCCTCCCCTGTAAAAATGAGAATGATAATAACCCCTAGTTCATAGACTTGTTGAGAGGATTAAATGAGATAATACTTATAAAATATGTAACAGTTTCTGACACATAGTAAGACCCCCAAGAAAAGTTTGGTTATTTTTTTTTCTGGTAGAACAAAATATCCCAAAGGAACATTGGTTATTGGTCTGTGTGATGAGAGCTGTCAGAGATTTGATTCACAGGCCTCTGAGTAAGTTGTCAGATCATGGTGAACTTAATAACAAGCACAAGAAATGCGAGCAATGTCACGAAGGAGGGATTATGGTAAAAGGTTCCAGGCTGATATGAAATGCAGTGAAGTGTATGTCACTCAGCTTGTGTTTTCCCTGTCCTGTACGCGATTGTAATTTTCCACTGGTGGTCACCTTCCTTGAGAAGGAAAAATACTGAGAAGTCCGACCAGACCAAAATGTTTCCTTTGATTATTCCTAGGCCCTCATGCAAAGTTTTCTTTGCCGCGGATCCCGTGAAAATCGTGCGAGCCCAGAGGCAATACATGTTTGACGAGAAGGGCGAGCGGTACTTGGATTGCATCAACAACGTCGCCCACGGTAACTGTCCTGTCTCGGTAGCGCTTTGAAGACCGTGTTTATGCAGAAGGGCAGACTTGGGACAGTTAATATTTGTCTCAGGGATTGCAGTTTCTCTGCTGAGTGGGCCAGCAGTCCTAGCAGGGAAAAGTTGCAGCAAAGTGTGTAAGAGAAAGGAACTCAGCTAATTTTTTTTTCTTGCTTCATCATTCCCCTGACTTCCCAGGCACTTAGCATTGTAACTTATTTCTTGGACTTTTGTCTCAAATTTCAGTGGGACACTGTCACCCAGAAGTGGTCAGAGCTGCCCTGAAGCAGATGGAGCTGCTAAATACGAATTCTCGCTTCCTCCACGACAACATCGTGGAGTATGCCAAGCGCCTTTCAGCAACCCTGCCGGAGAAACTCTCTGTTTGTTATTTCACAAATTCAGGGTATGTTTGCAGCTTTCTCGCCCATCCCCATTTCTATTGAACTGTCTACTCTCTCCTGCAAACCTTTCCTTTCGATGCGTGGTGGAGCAGAGACGTCTAAAAAGGTTTGAGATCCTTGCCGTTCACTCAGTGAGCACGCTTCAGGGGCCTGGCCTTCCCGGTGCTTCGGCCTCCTTGCACGACACTGAACCTAACTGGCCAGCGATGCCCACCTCCCCGGGCTGGAGTAAGTAGCCAAGGAATCCACAGGCCAAGACAGCTCTCTCAAAGCGTGCGTGAGGAATTCTAGCAAAGAAGTGACTACTACACAAGCTAAAACGTTTTTAAGATTTTTGATTTGTTCTCTTAAAGAAATTGAGCTTATTTTCCCAACACAAAGGAAAGAAGGAGGAAATTCAAGTGAATAGATACATTCCAGCTTTAAAATTCTGTAAATTCAAGTTATAATATCCATTCTAGGAAATGTTACACAGGTATTTAAAAGTATGTTTTTGAAAATGTACGCCTAAATACATGCTCAAAATGCAATATTATATCAGGGGGAAGTTGTCTATATAGCAGAAACTCCTATTTTTTAAAAATGATACCTATGTATTAAAATTAACGATTAGAAATTCTGTGAATGTTCCTTATATGATTTTCTGTGAGTCACTTTTCAATGACATATCTTAAAACCAAATTTATAGCCAGAAAATTGTTCTTTCTTCTTTGTAAAGAATTAAGAAGATATCTTAGACTCTAACTTGTTGTTGTTATAAGGCATTATTGCCTTTAATAAATGAAGCATAATATTTGACTTCCATTTCTAAGGAATTCTATACTGTCAAAGAGAAATTAATTCCAAACAACCCTGTCCACAGAGACTGGATACGACAGAGCTCATCTAGGACAAAGAATTACAGTCTTGAAGTTAAACGGGCTTGAGTCTGAATCCTGGCTCTGCTTCTTATGAGCTGTAAGACTTCATTCTGGTTACCTAACTTCTCTGAGGCTGTTCCCTCCTCCATAAAAAGGAGATGGCGACCCCTGTCTTGCAGAGCTGTTATGAGAATAAACACAAGTAAAACACTCAGCATAGTGAACGTTACAATAATGATTATTTTCTTCCTCCGTGTCTGCATAGTATGTTTAGACTCTGAACCAGAAGGAAAAAATATGATCCTCATTTTAGAGATAAGGAACCTAATCAAATGAATGTTGGGTGAACGCAGCATAGTTAGGTGGCCCAGCCGGTGGCCCCAGCCTGCCGCGCCGTCTGTCAAGACCAGCCCCACCGCGGGCTCCTCGTGTCCGCAAAGCCGCTCATCTGCTGCTGTCACTGACCTGGACCGACTTTGACGTGGGCAGCACATCCTTAATTTTCATTTGCTTTCTGCCGTGCGGCTCATCTTTACCGAAAGCACCTGGGGCCTGGTGTGGGCAGGGCACAGTGGGATCGTAGGCCGGGCGAGGT